TCAGTTAGCACCATTATTCCGACGAGCAAAATGTTATATATTGACATCTCATGATAATAGACAAGACTATTCGATCTTTTTTGAGTTAATTTTATGGATCGGGGAATGAAATTAAGTCTCATTTTAAGAAGGTGCACGTCAAAGGGWAAAAAACCCTTATTAAAATGTAGCCCTATACATTACGATACYAAAACATAGAAACAAAGAAAGGTTAAATGGGAAATGGAAAATGGTGTATGCAACTAGGCTACGATCAGTATATTATGTTGTTTTCTTATGAATGTCTTATGTTTACTGGTTGCACTTAGGGTGCCCAGAGCAATCTCTTGTCGGAAAGGAGAGAAATCTGAATCTATCATACAGCAGTTACACAGCCTCTTCATATTATAAAAACCCAAGCATCCCTGCCGATGTTCGATACGAACCTCATAATGCCAAGCTGTACGGTAATTATGGATGGGCACCAAGGTATAATAATAATCCTGATGATTACCTACAGATTGACCTCGGTACTGCACGTGTTATTACTGCTGTAGCAACACAAGGAGGTGGTAGCACTGTGAATAGAGAATGGGTGACAAAATACAAGCCGTATTTAGCACCAAATATTATAACTCGGTGGTATACTTATAATGGTGAATTTGGAAATTTCAAGGTAGGAGCACTTTGTTTACTTATTTATTTCGTTTGTTAATTAGAATCTTTCACAACCAACAATAACAGATCCGTGTTGCTTTAAGCCACACAACTGGAGGTGTAAATCAAATGGGTTCTCGCATCTCCATTGATATATAAATATAATCAAAACTAGTTAGTGAACCAAATGGTGCTTCGCCTAAATAGGAAAACAACTAATTYATTGGCATGTATTTCGTCACCACGTAAAATATTTCATTGTCAAAAATCCAGCTGGTTTCAAGTTAAAATCAGGACGGGGCGCCTCGCAACGCAATCMACTAACTCGTTATTCCCTACATCGTTGTTGTGCACGCTCCCAGGATGCTCAGGAGCTGCTAGCTTTACTAACTGCCTCAAGGCTATTCTGGTCGATATTAAATCTAGCCCGCCAAGGTGTTGTTTTCGGAATCCCGGATAGGCAAACAATTTTACAATTAACTGTAAGGTTTCTAGGTTGTGACTGTATAAAGAAGGATTTGCGTCGTCTATTTTTATATTTTTTAGCTCTTCAAAGGAAACNTTATTTTGTTCTTATGAATGTCTTATGTTTACTGGTTGCACTAGGGTGTCCAGAGCAATCTCTTGTTGGAAAGGAGAAAAATCTGAAACTATCAGACAGCAGTTACACAGCCTCATCATATTATAAAAGATCAGACTTCACAGAGGATGTTCGATACAAACCTCATAATGCCAAGCTGAATGGTAGATATGGATGGGCAGCAAGTGATAATAATAACGCTGATGATTACCTACAGATTGACCTCGGTACTCCACGTGTAGTTACTGCTGTAGCAACTCAAGGGAATGGTGGTTTCAATGAATGGGTGGAAAAATACAAACTGTATTTAGCACCAAATACCATACCGCGGTGGTATACTTATAAAGATGAATTTGCAAATTTCAAGGTGGGAGCCCTTTGTTTATTTATTTATACTTCGTTTGTTAATTAGAATCTTCCACAACCAACAATAACAGATCCGCGTTGCTTTAATCCACACGTGACTGGAGGTGTAAAGCAAATGGGTTCTCACATCTGCATTGATATATAAATATAATCAAAACTAATTAATGAGCCGAATGGTGCTTCGCCAAAATAGGGAAACAACTAATTCATTATTATGTATTTTGTCACCGCGTAAGATATTTTATTGTCAAAMATCCAGATTGAAATCAGGACGAAGCGGCCACACAGCGCAATCAACTAACTTGTTATTCCCTACACCGTTGTTGACTTGCACGCCTCCAGGATGCTCAGGAGCTGCTAGCTATACTAACTGCCTTAAGGCTATTCTGGTCRATATTAAATCTAGCCCGCGAAGGTATTGTTTTCGGAATCCCGGATAGGCAAACAATTTTACTATTAACTGTAAGGTTTCTAGGTYGTGACTGTATAAAGAAGGATTTGCGTCGTCTATTATTATATTTTTTAGCTCTTCAATAGAAACACCGACTCTAACAGTGTAGTACGTCATGATCTTACAAACCCTCAGCTGGCCAGGTACATTAGATTTGTACCAGTGGAATATCATAATTGGAAAACAATGAGGGTCAACGTTTACGTTAATAACCAAGGTGTGTTGTTATAACGAAAKATTTACTTATTTGGCTATAAACTAAAATGACTCAAAAACTCAAAAGAAAACATACAATTAAAAAGAACGAATTGTTGCCCCTATATATTATTGTTTACACCGTTC